TATACCCTTTTGTAACTGAGAAATCTCTCCTTGATTTATAATAATTGTAGTAAATCCAGATATTGATAAACTGAGTTTAATAAAGCAAGTCATACCTACATATGAAGAGAGTTTACTTTAGTTCCCAGAACTTTCCTGTGCTCTCCTACCCTCCTCACTTTCAGCACACAAACATTTATTGTATGTCAAACACTGTGCTAGGTACTAAGGCTACAGCGATAATTTGGTCTCCATCCTGAAGGAGCTGAATGTATTATGATACAGTCTGGTTAAATTAGAGGCTCAGTTATGTCACTGAAGACTCATATTTTTTTGATATTCTTACTGTACCATCCTTAACATTTCTGCTTTATCAAATCAGCTTATCTTAGGTCCCAATGGCTGCAGCAATTGTGAGGGTAATATCCTTATAATAGTTAAGGAATAGAAGAACTGCGTCATCTTTGTATCTCATTTTAGCAGGTTCCCAGCAGACTACCTTTGATCTTATAACAACCAAAACTGCAATGTGAGCTCCCGCCTCCATTAATCCTGGATATGGTGAATAGGATTACCCCTTTGATGGTATTTGCTCTCTCTAGCTGGGACTGCATATGGATCCTATCTTCTGATAAACTTTTGGCCCCCAAGAGAGGGTTTCTGAATTTAAGCAGATATAGCTGGCTTACAAATACACCTGGACTGTTGAGTAGCCCAATGATTGCCAACCCTTTTGAGAGCCTGGCACCTGTCATGCTATACATAGAAAATGGTTATCCACTGTACCACTCACTGGGATCAACTCAAGAAGCTTGCAGCCATGACTTGCCTGAAGGCTCCTGTTGCCTCATTCTTGCTCAGCAGTTCCAAGGATAATGGGATTCACATCAGAGCACAGCTGTATATTATTCACAGCACCTCAGTTGGGAAGTTCTGATGAGGCAATCAATCCACAGCATCTGCCAAAGAAAGAATACCTACTCAGACTAGACAATCTATTATTATAAGTAAATATCGAGTGACAGAAGAGACAGTTTCTAAGACAATGTTTCATGGTGGTAGTTCTAGCAAGCTGTTCTCTGATGTCTTTCTGGCTTTGCACATGCTGCTTCTCTCTTCTGGGTGTTTTCTTTAATAACACATGTAATGGATAGGTAGAGTCAAATAAACCTGGGTTAAAATCCTCTGCCACCTATTAGCTCTGGAACATTGGGCAAATTAACTTCTCTGAGCCTGTTTCACCATCTGGAAAGTGGAATAATATCAACCGTTACTCACTTAAAAAAATTGTTTTTGAGTATAAAGATAATTATGTAAAATGGCCAGCATAATCCGTGGTATGTAATGTTAACCAGTAAAGATTTGAGGCTGTAAAGCAAATTAAGTTTATTTAGGGGTCTTAAAAAAGAATTAGAATCTGAGAAACCCAGAATCAGGTTTAGAATTAGAATCTGAGAAACCCAGAATCTGTGTTTTGTAGAGAACAAAAAAAAGGCAGTGTTTATAAAGGCAGAAATAACAAAATGTAATTCTTTCATGCAAATGAAGGATTGTTCGGTACTTACGGGGATTGGTTAGTTCCTATATGCAAACGAGGGGGACGAAAAAAACCGACGAAGTAAAGTTCATTTATGTCCACGTAGCAGTTACTGTTCCTAGATGTTTATGGCTGGGCCTTGAACTGAGTTTAGCAAATTTGGCAAAGTAATAGCAGCTCCAAGAAATGAAGCACAAGAAGTGCATAAGCCCCACTTCTCTAATAGCTCACTAACTCTATTTTAGTGTCTTTCTTATCAATGCTTATTCCATTTAATTTTTACTCATTATAAGCCTTCCTCAAATGTCACATATTCCTAGTAAATTCTACTTAATAGCCACTGCTCCTCTGAAGATGCTCGTTAGACATTTCGATGGTGCCTCCTGTTTTTATACCATTATTAAAACATTTATCACACTTTAATCTGTTATTTACCCACAGTCTTCCTCTCTCCCCTTAACCAGTGATACCTAAAAGGCCCAATAATTGTCCTACAATCTGTATCGCCTAGTGATTGGCAGAGTTCGGCCCCTATTAGGGGGTTCCATCAATATTTATTTTTGTTTTGGCTAACTTTCCTTAACGGATTGGGTGGGAGGAGTGTAGTGGAGAGGGAGGGTGCCGCCCACGGAGAGGAGGGGAGTGCCCGCCGAGGGTGCACTCGCCTGATAGTCCCGGCGGAGCCTCAGCTGCACCCCCTGATCCACCCACAGATGGAGATGGGGCCCAATCTCACCCCCCAGACTGTCAGTGCACCGTTACCAGCACCCGTGCCTGGAATGGGGAGTGCCGGGTAGAGACAGGTTCAGGCGGCCGCGGTGGCGGCCTCAGGAAGGCGCCTGGACTCAGGCCCGGGCTCCCCGCCCAGCCCGCCGGGCCCGCCCGGCCTCGCGCCCCACACCACCCGGCGCCCCAGTTCCCTCCCGACGCCGGCGGGCCGGGGAGCTTCGCGGACGTGACGCCGCGGGCGGAAGTGACGTTTTCCCGCGGTTGGACGCGGTGCTTGGTTGCCGGGCGGGGGAGGGCTTGTCGGGTTTTTCTCAGGGGACGTTCAAATTATTTTTGTAACGGGAGTCGGGAGAAGACGGGGGTGTGCCCCGACGTGCGCGAGTCCTCCCTCCCCGGCCCTCCTCACCGCTCGTCGGCTCCTGCTCGGGCAAGGCGTCATGCCGCCCAAAGCCCCCCGGAGAGTAGCCACCGCCTCCGCCGCCGCACCCCCGGCACCGCCGCCGCCACCCCCTACTGAGGAAGACCCCGAACAGGACAGTGGCCCCGAGGACCTGCCTCTGGCCAGGTGAGCGAGCAGAGCCGCTGCGGCGGCCGGCACACGGGAAGGACGCGTCCCGGCGGGATGAGGGTCCCTTCTTGTCTCCCACAGACGCGGAGCGCCTGGAGGAGGGTGACGGGCCTGGGTTCGGGAGCGAGGGGAAGGCAGCCGGGAGGGGTCTCGGCTCCAGCTTGACAGGTGTCGGGCGGGTGGGGCTCGAGTCCCTGAGCGAAGTGACAGGTGCCGCGGGACTGGAGCCTCGCAGGCGGCGGGTAATTTCGAGGTCCCAGCAAACTGGAGGGGGAAAAAAAAAAACAAACATGTTTGGTAGAAAGATTTTCTCCTGTTGAGATTTGTAGTACGCAGGTGGTCGTTTGACTTTCTGTTTTGGTCTCTTGGGATGCAACAGTTGGAAGTGTTTTCCTCAGGGCGTGCAAAACTGCATCTGAGGCTTAGTTCTGGGAGACGCCAACCAGAAAGGCCTTGGGCGCTGCTGCAGAGACGCCATTGGACGTGAAGTTCAGGCTCCTGGGTGTCAGTTGCCCCCAGGGTGCGCCGCTGAAATGCTTTGTAAGGTTCTCTGACAACAGTGCTTTGAGGTCTTGGGGTTACACAGCCATGATAGTGACTTGTGGAACATAACTAGAGGAACTGGTGTATGAACAAAAGTTTTGTGAGACGTTTAGCCTAAGTGCTTAAAAGTTTCTAAACTTTTCTTGTTGCATGAAACTCTTGCATGTTAACCTGCTTCAGGATGTCTAATTATTTCTTCCTTTTTGCCTTTTGGGGTTGAGCCAGCAAGGGTGTTTCCTTCCCCTGCCCTCCCCACCCCACCTTTTTTTTTGTTTGGGTACAAAATAAGTGTTCATGTGCTCACATGAAACTTTTTTTTTAAAGCCAGAAATGGAATTTAAGAAAGGCTATGATAATGGAGTAGAACTTGACAGGGAGATATGTATTGTATTGCAACATCTTATTTTTCTTGATTGTGGTGCTATATAAATGAG